ACAAACAAACACAATCATTAAATTTTATCAAACTAATAACAATTTGGTATTTGAATATAATTTTAAATACAACAAACTTACAATAAGAATTAAATGGTAAATGATAACCAAATTACAATAACTGATATTAAATGGTAATAAACAAAATTAACTGAAATACATTACAAAAAGTCCAACAAATTTAACAAAATAAAGTAAGTATTAAATGAGAAATAATAAAAAATTATAATTTAACAAAATGAAATAAATACAAATATAATAAAAAAATCTATCGATGCCTGTGATGCGAATGTGTTCCGCAGGGCGGTGACTGTCGGTCTCGAGGAGGATTTCTTCTTATCACTGGTTTTGACTCCTCGATGTTATCATCATCACCGTCGTCGTCGTCGTCGTCGTTTTCGTCCTGAGTAGGTACATTTGGTTGATGAGGAGATGATGAAGATGAAGCACTTCCATAGAATAAGGACCCTGGAGGTGTATGACTGACTATCCTACTGGCCTGCGAAAACTGGGAAAACACATAAAACCCAGACATCGCTGAGTGTGAAAACTGTACAAGAGGTGTATGTGTTGCGGCCATGGGTGATGAGGCTGAACCCGTCAGATATCCAGTATATGAACCCCAAGTCGGATCTGCAAACATAGACCCATAGTAGCCTCTAGGAGGGGTCATCTGTGATGGTGGCGACGGCGGGGGTCATAAAACCATGTGAAGGCGGCGTCATCTGGTAATGGAAAGGTGGCAACATCATATATGGTTGTAGCATCATAAATGGCTGCGGTGGCTGCTGTAAAGGTCATGCTGGTGTAGCTGAGGATGAACCGGAAGCACATGCTCTCCGTCCACGAGTCGGGGGACGACGGTGTTATGTCGGTAAACGTCTCTGTCGACGTCGCGGAAAGGTCTGCCCTCGTGCATCCTCGGGAAGCCGAAACGATTTCCCGTTACTGTTGAACCACTCATAATAACCGTCAACAACACTCAAGAGGTCAAGTAAAATGGGCTCTCTACGGGGAAGGCACCGATGTCGATCCTCCCATGACACGTCCCACTCATGTTACCTCACCAGCTAATTTGTATCTGTCTTGCCGCGTCTATCTAAGCTATGCAACTCGTCCATATTGTGAGGTGCTTCCGGAATTGGTTGAAAACAACCAAATTATCGGAGCACGCAATCAGTAGAGTGCCACTCAACGGTCGCATAACAGATCAGAGGGATCATCGCCATCCAAACATCTGATGGGCCCCTCAACTCAGGTGGGATCACCGCCCTCACATCATCAGTACAATATGGCACCCATTCAAACTAAAACAAATATTATATAATTTTTTATCAAAATAATAATCTAATTATATAACTATAATCAAAAATTGATTTTTAAACATTAAAATTCATACATGTGTGCCAGCCTTCTGATCGATTAGCACCCTAATTTTTTCTAAATCATCAGGTAGCTCCTGATGATTTTTCCTATCAGTAGACCACCTATTCAAGGAAAAAAATTATTATACGTTGTATAAAATTATTAATATACAAAATCAGTTTTATAATTACCTCAGAAGTAGTGAAAATACAAATGAGTTCTTCACAACGGGACATAAAAAGGGCAATCGATACCATGCCCAAGACTACAACAGCAGGAGACATCCGTCGATAGCATTACGCTTGTAGTCAGTGGCTCCACACATCTCTCTGTACAACAAAGTCAAAACTGTCAAGCCCCAACTGAATGATCCGGCCAGACGAAAGTCGCTAAGATGTCGCAACCACATACAGTGAACTAGGTTGCACGATTTGTCCGGCATCAATAACCCTCCCTATCAACTGCAATATGCATGCCCGTGCATACATCTTAACTTCATCTTCAGAGGTGTCTGCGCTCAACTCTTGAAAATTGGCATCTAACCAATTTAACGGTATCCTACCTCCGATAAAACTTTCCGGGACACGTCCTAGATTATCCCGACACAAAGTAGTCCAGGAACCCTGCTAGATCCCTGATATCATATCTCCATCCACCAGAAAACCTAGGTGTATAACAACATCCTCAAGTGTAATCGTGCACTCTCCGCACGAAAGATGGAATGTGTGGGTCTCCGGCCTCCACCGCTCTACTAAGGCAGAAATAAGGTCTGGTTCTATCTTACAGTGACCCTGATATCTACCTATGTAACCAAATCCAGCCTCTACTAAATACGGCAAGACACGGCTATGTATCACTAACTTAAGATTCCTAATAAAAGGATCTAATATAGGGTCCTTCTCCTAAAATTAAATAATTACACAAATTAATTCTTAATCTAATAATCATGCATTAAATAAATCAACAAATTATTACAAATAATTTAAATTAAATTAAAACGTTAAAATGTTACCGTATCAACAAAGTGTCGAGATATATGATTTCCATCCAAGCGAAGTAAATCGCCTTCCATTATATATATGCAAAAAAATTATATTAGTAAAATATTAAATAAAGTAAAATGCTTAAATAAATTAAATACATAATATTAAAAATATTATAAAATATACCTTAAACAGATAAAGTATTTGAGAGAATTTGAGAGAATATGGTGTGATGAAAGTAATAGAGGATGTGGATATTTATAGGGAGGATTGGGGGGTAATTAAAGGTATAGCGCGCCCCCTGTACCGCGCTATACCCCACATGTCAGATAAACAACTATAGTGCGGATCAAGGAGCGCGCTATACCCACGTGTAAGTCATGTCAGCGTATAGTGTGGTATAGGGGGCGCGCTATAAGGGGGCGCTATACCACACGTGGCGCCAAATCAACATATAGCGCGGAGCAGGGAGCGCACTTTACTGCTACGGGTGTTAGATCGGGAAATATAATATGACCGGTGTTAGATCGGTAAATATATTGGTCACGAGTGATTTTTTTGAGAAAAACGCCTGAGAAATTAGGATTTCAATAAAAAAAAGAACTTGACTGAATGATCGATCGATAGATATGAAAGGGTTGATTTCAAGCAAAGAAATTTATAAGAAAATTTAAAATTTATAGAAGAAAGGCAACAAGGAACCTTCTAAGGTGACGTTTGGTTCGCTGTAATGTTTATGAGGGAATTGGAATCTGTTAGGAATTGGAATCTGTCAGGAATTGGAATTTGTTAGGAATTGAAATATAATTCCATATTCTGTTTGGTTGGCAGGAAATGGAATTGGAATCCAATTTCATATTCTGTTTGGTTCGCAGACATGTTAGATGAATTTGATTTCAGTAATGTAAAATAACAGAATTGCCCTTCTTGTTTTTTTGCTTTATTTTATTTTGTTTTACAACTTACATGTAGTAATATATTATAAAAAATTTAAAAATATTAAATTTTCATTTTATTGATTGATTATTCATTTCAATAAATTATAAAAATCATGCTAATAAACATCATAAGTTAAAATCATCGCAATCAAAATATGTTAATAAGTTACCAAAAGATAGAGCAATATTTCAATACATTCCAATCGGAGTATGTTAATTAGTTACAAAAAAATATACCAAAAACTATTTTTATTCAATATATGAATTAGAAACCCGACCCGACAAGACACAAAATAATAAAAAAAATATTTTTATTCAATAAAAACATTGACTTAATTGGAAAAAATTATATATAGAGGGGTATTATTGTAATTATTCCTAAATATATAAGGTAAAATTATATTTTTTTTTCGGGTCGGGTCCGGTTTTTTTCACCCTAAACCCGAACCCAAACCGACCCGAATATCACACTTAAAAACACGACCCGAATATATGAATTAGAAATCCGACCCGAAATAATAAAAAATTATTTTTATTCAATAAAAACAGTGACTTAATTGAAAAAAATTATATATAGAGGGGTATTATTGTAATTATTCCTAAATATATAAGGTAAAATTATATATATTTTCGGGTCGGGTATTTTTCACCCTAAACCCGAACTCGACCCGACCCGAATATCACACTTAAAAAAACCGACCCGACCCGACCAAAATAAAGTTCACCCGACCCGATCCGAATATATGAATTAGAAACCCGACCCGAAATAAAAAAAAAATTTATTCAATATATGAATAAGTTACCAAAAGATTGATGAGGGTAGTATGGTCAAATTTCAATTCCCTCCAACAAGGGAATTGAATTCCATCAATTCTTGGATGAAATTCACTTTCTCTCATTTGATGGAAAGTTGAAGCCATGAGGGATTTCAATTCCCTTGGAAAACTTGAACCAAACATGGGAAAGTGGTGGAATTGGATTCCAATTCCCACCAATTCCAAGAGATTCATGCCAACCAAACACCACCTAAGGGTCTACTACTTGAATTGGTCTCCAACACGAAACCAAGATTGTTATATCATTTATTAAAATATTTAAAAATAAATATTTTAAATGTAATGTGATAACATACCTATATAAAAATACAAATTTTGAGAAAATTTGAATAAAGAAGAATACTCTTAATTTTTTTTCTATATCATTATTTGACATTTAAAAATAAATTTTTGAAAAGAATTATTTATCGCTATAAGGTAAATCAATATACATTTTTATAAACCTGTTATAATGTTTAACAATAAAATCATTAGTTAATGTTCATTTATTTTGAAGTAAAAGAAATGCATTATCCATATATAGCGTCTGATATAACAATGTCCCTAATACATAAAGGAAAATCAGAATAGAAAACTAAAGTAGAAGACAGCCGAATAATATGATGTTGATGATCCGAATTCAGTGTGTGTGTGTGTATCCTTACTAGAATTTGTAATGTTAATCGTTTCATCGCCTTTGAAATAAATAAACAAATAGTGTTCAACCACTATGTTGTTAATCATCACCATAAAATTACACATTAATAGCCATTAGTTTTCGACCATGTTTATGTTTTTCCTACTATTTTCCGTTATTTTATCATTGCATAGAACATAATTAACAACGGTCAAAAAGAATTTGTAGCTTTGGAGAATGAAAATTTTCTCTTTCCCCTCCCCCTTATTTTGAAGAGAGCCTATTGCTTTATGATACATAAAAATGGATCCAACGGAATTTTAAGGGCTAAAACTATGGCAGTGAAAGGTACGTCACTAAACAATGTACATGCTATTGCAGATGCTAACCATTTGCATCTTTGCTTTAGTAGACTTCTAGTACTTCTTTGCCGCATGGTACAGCTCCATATAATCAAGCGCAGGCCGGTTCCATGACCAATCTTGCTCCATCACCCTCTTGCATAACGTGTAAAACCAGTCCCGACCATCGTACCAAGCAGAGATTGCCCTAGATGGTTCAGTGATAAAATGAACAAATCGAATCAATCATATGAGTATAAACAGGAGAAAATGAGAGAACAAATGCAGCAAATGCTATGTCTCCATGTGAATTATGGGAACTCCGGAAACTAAATGACGATGAAGGGATGGATGAACAAGTGCACTTACAACAGTGCTGATAAACTCACCTATTGAGGGCATAATCGACTCCAGCACTATCAGCTCCGTCGAAATTAAATCCATTGGGCTCAAGGCCTTGTGCTTCAGCTCTAGCTTTATCGTGGTCAACATCAAATACAGTATCATACAGTCCTTGAAACAAAAGGAAACACAAAGTCGATACACTTTGAGATGATATACTTTCCAAGAATAGATGCTAAACAAGATTCATATGACATAACGTCTCCATTTTCCATCCGAGAAAAGCGAAAAATTAAATGAAATCAGATAAAATTGTAGAACATTAGGGAAATCTTTATGTTATTAATTCATATTGGCTATGATCTTTAATGCCCACCGTAATAGTTCATCCACGTATCAACAGATTCCGTAATCAAGATGTAGAAGATTATCATTCAGAGGTATCAAAATTACGGACTTAAGATGAGTACACACCTCCTGTTTTACGAACAACGGGAATGGAACCATATCTCATTGCTGTCAGTTGTGTCAGTCCACAAGGCTCAAAAATAGAGGGAACCAGAATGAAATCAGCACCGGCATATCTGTAAAAATAGTAAAATAAGAATATAAAAAATAAATAACAGATTTAAACTGCTAGGGTCATATTACAGGTATGCTCCTTCAAAGAGTAATAATAAATGAAGTAGACTTTGATAGTGCAAACCAAGTGAGAGAGAGGTTCATCATAGGTCAAAACAAGGCGAGCTCGATCCCCATGAGTTGAATGCAGCTGATTGGCCAAATTCACGAAATCGTTTTGGATGCGAGGATCAGGAGCTGAGCCAAGTAGTACAACCTACCACAAAAAATTCCATCATGCACTTACTAAGATGCATTAAATACAAGTACACAGTCAAGGAAGCCCACGAGAGGCACTAAACTTCCTTGTTTACGCATTCATTCAGAATACATCAGAGAACATGAATTCTGAATAATGCAAGCACACTCATGTTAAGAATGCAAGAAAAAGAATGGCCAAGGAAAGTCCTAGGGAGTATCACATCAATGTCACTACCATGAAATTCAGGCTGATAAAGACCAAATAGTGTGTAATCATACAAGAGATCATGCAGGAGATGGTAAAAGGAGAGAGGGAGGGAACCTGTCCGTTACGTTCTAAGGTGTGCCAAATTGCATGCTTCATAAGATGGATTCCTTTCTGGTGAGTTAAGCGAGAAATAATTCCAACCACAGGAAGATCAGATTTCTTCAAACCAAGCCTTTGCTGCAAGGCTTCCTTGGCGGCTCGTTTGCCTTCAACAACATTTTCTGAAGTGTAAGGTATCTGGAACGACCAGCATCTCACATTAAGAATGATAATAATTGCAAAAATAGGACAAAAGCATAAAAGAAATGCTCTGGAAGTCTTGTGGCTCTTGCCTATGTACAGATTCATAACAGTTCCCTTTTCAATTCATTAAGGGTTGAGGAAAAGTTCATAGGAGATTTATTTATCAAATAACAGTATATCTACTTACAGGAAGGAACTTATCGTTGTACGGATCCCAAATATCCAAGTCAATTCCATTTAATATTCCATGGAACTTGTGAAGATTAGGAGCAACTGCAGGATTTCCAGCAACCTCCTTTGCATATGTGTATGATACCTGCATAATGTGAATAAACACTAAGAAACCATCATAGAAACATGAAAGGTAAAAGACCATCAAATATCTTGTCTGAGATACCAAACATGAATTGATACAATGTAGTATAGAAAATTATAATTTGAATGGACTGGAAGCATCAGAAAAAAATCTATTACATATGCATCACTAGATCAGTATATTCTAAATCTAATGAATTAAACTCATCTTTACAAAAACAATTCAAATTCAAAGAGAAAAGTAAAGACAACGAAACTTCTTCTTTGAAGAAAAAGATTAAATTCCTCAACCACCTAGCGGTTAGTTATATCTCTTCAAAAGAAAATGGAGAAAGCTAATGCATATCAGTATGGAGGTGCCCCAATGACATGGTCCTAAATTGCCCACACTATATACCTTTAAAACATTTAATTTAGATAAAGAGAAACAAGACAACCAAAAGAACCAAAATATAGTCAAAAACCCATGTATAATAGATCATAAATACACTATATATAAGAATATATCTATACATGTATAGAGCTACTACATTAAATACACTAAATTAGCCATAAGGAAATTTAGGTACATACAGTTGTAGCCTTGTCTGCATACTGCATAGCTTTCCCAATGAAGTGTGATCCAAATTCAAGGTTATGTATGGTGAAGACAACCCGAGTTTTGCTAAGACCATAATGCATGTAATTGTCCTTAAATAACCACGCAACTGGGGCAGTAGACCAATCGTGGCAATGGATGATATCCTGCCAAAGGTCAAGCACACTAAAATGGTTAATCGTAGAATTTGTTTTTTGTCCACACATTCAAGAAAGATGGTCTTTTAAGAGAGTGGTGTACCCATAACATTCTTCTATGAATGAATTGTAGAGGCTATAGCGATGAACAGAGAAACAAAATGGGTATTGATAATATATTAAGAACACTGCCATGCATGTAGGAGGTTTGCATGATATACTGCCATGTATGGGCATTTAACTAGTTAAGCAAAATGCCATCAAAATGTTGGCCCAGTGGCAAGAAACTTGTGAAGAATTAGAGCTTTCAAACCCGAGCATCCCCACCCCATCCCCAAATATCCTGTACCAAAACAAAAAAATTAAGCATAAATATAAGTTGAGTCTAAACTTACAGGCTGAAGTCCACCTTGGTGTAGAAATTCGAGAGCAGCATGACAAAAGAAGCCAAACCTCTCTGCATCATTATTGCAACCATAAACACAACCTTTCCAGACAATTCTGCATGCAACAATACACCAAAGCATTCATATGGTTGTAGTTTTCTTATTAAAATGAAACATTTCAATTCTTAAAGGTGCATAGGGATTATTAAAATTACCCATTTTGTGGCTCCAGAAAATAGACTGAAAGGCCTTCCACTTTACCAAACCAAACTTTAACTTCAGTGCCACCCCAGGAATAGCTTCTTTGGTAATGCAAGTCCTTCACCTGTATCATAAAATATCCATTTGACAGGTCTGAAATTACTAAAAGACAACTTCGATAAAAAAAATGAAAAGCAATGAATGTTTTTTTTTCTTCCCTTTTCTGATTATTAAGATATGAATAACAATGAGAAGCAGATTAAACGATACAAAACATTTTTAAGTAGAGTCCACTCATTTTAAAATAAAATAAAATAATCCAATAAGAGAGGTGCATGCAACAATTTTGCACCAATATCATATTAAAGGAAAAGTGCACCTCAGCCAGCTAATGCACAATTGCTAGTGCAACGTGAAAGCGTACAAGCCGCATGCCAAGTAAGCAAGAATTAAAACCAGAAATCCATGATTTAAGGAAATTCAGGCAGCACCTATGAAACCAATCAAGAAGGAAAAAGGATCTTGTTAAAGAAACAGTAATGAAGCTTACATGGCTAAGGTTCAAGCAGTCATACTTTGGAAGAATGATGTTCACGTTGTGGTTTAAATCTTGAACAGCACGAGAGAGACTAGTAACAACATCACCAAGACCTCCAACCTGCAATATTATTGAGGGAAGCAACTGAGAATTTTACTACAGATACGAAATGCTCTATCAAATTCAGTTATATGGCTTATATCAGGTCAAGAGCCCAGATAAATGCATTGTCCTATTTCTGTAAGAGGTGCAGCATCCTCTCCCTTAAAAGGCTCATTTCCGGAATACTTTTCACCGCTGCATGGCGTCTTAAAGAACATTCTCTTCATTATGAGAATGAAAAGGTTTCAGAAAGTATCCACTCCCTTACTGTCCAAAAGTTACCTTTGCAATGGGGGCCATCTCAACAGCAATATGCACAATGTGCATAGGTGGCTCTTTCACAATTCCTCCCAAAACAGGTATATGGTAATCCATACCCTCTTTGTTGTCAAAAATTCCACCATCTTCCCTCTCAGAGAATACAAAGTCCATCATATATGCATCCAATGGAACCTTGACTGCAAAGACACACAGTGACAAGCATCATTCTCCGTGTTAAATAGAGAAGGCTATAACTGGAATTGAAAGAAGATATGCATAATTCAAAATCCCAATTCCCAACAGAGTTGACTACACTTACCAATTGCTTTTACATGAGAACTATTATCTGCAGGCAACATTCTCTGAGGAGGTAATGGACCCATACGGTGAGTCCAACGATTAAACGAACATCTGAACCATACTTCTTGTTTTCCATTAAGTACTGTGTTTGCAGGATTGTAGAAAACTGTAACAGTGCTTCCTGCATGAACATCAAGAGGCTCGGTATAAACTATATGTTTTTGAGAAAGCAGAAATCTCTTCAATGTTCTTTCCTTCAATTCAGCTTTCAAACGTGCTGTTTTTTCAGCCTAAGACAAGAGAAGAAAAAAATAAAACAGTAAATACAACTGAGATAAATGAATTAAATAAATATATATCAGTCAATTAATATGCAGAAAATGCGGGAGTGAGAGAAAATCCTCTCCCTTCTCTCTAGGTTCTCTCTAGGCTGTGATCTGAGGGGTTTAGTGTTCCAAATGGCTCAAAGCTCAGGGAAGGTAGGCGAGATTATAACTTTGTTCGTGCAAAACATTCCACCTAGATATCATTGGAGTGGGTTGAGTCAACTATTCGGGAGGCATGGAGACGTGATTAGTTCTTATATAGCAAGGAAGAATGATAGAACAGGAAAGCGCTTTGGGTTTGTTAGATTTTCCAACAGAGATGACACAGTTAGAGCAGTCCATAGATTAAATGGATTCTGGTTATTAGGATATCGATTATCAGTCAAAGAAGCTCGGTATGGAGTTAGGAATCAAATCTGGAAACTGAAGTATCCATCAACCTCCATTCTACAACCAGGGTAGAACAAGGTAAAAGCGTCAGTGGAGATAGTTCGGAGGATCTAGCAAGAAGGAGGACTAGGCTAATATAGGGGGATGTTGATGAGGAAGCTGTTCAAAAGCTCCAGAAGTGCCTCGTTGGAACGATGGCGTCGTTTTGCTCTTTCAGTCAGGTGGTAGACAAATTACAAGCACGAGGTCTAGGAGATATTAAGACCAAGTTCCTGGGAGGGAGAGATTTCTTGTTGCAAATAGATGATGAAGAGTCATACAGAAATTTGAAGGAGCAAAACTGGTCGATATTAAATGAAGTTTTCCAGGAAGTTCAACCTTGGTCAGAATCTTACAGACCGTCGGAAAGAGTTACATGGATTAAACTGTTTGGAATGCCACTTCACAGCTGGAATCATAGCACCTTTAAGAGGATAGCACAACAATGGGGAGAATGCTTAGCGCTGGGAGACAACGCACTTCAAGAATTGGGCTGCGAGGAGATGACTATTCTGATTGCAACTAGTAGGAAAGAATTTATTGATGAAGTGGTTGACTTGGAAGCAGGTAGAGATATTTTCAGGATTAGAGTAGTAGAATTTCCCACAGTTAGAAGTGATTCTTTGTTTAGAAAGTGGGAAGAAAAAGAAGGTGTTGTTGTAGTCGTTTCTGAATCTCCAGCAGGAAGAAGCATAGACTCATCGGAGGAGAAGAATTCCGAGAGGTGTTCTGAGGAAGAAGACAGTTAGTTTTGTTGTATGGGGAACAGAGCTAGAGGCAACATCTTGTCGGGTGGGAACGAGGAGGAAAGGAACAAAGGGGAGGAAATTATTATGGCTCTGAGGAATAATGTTGTTGGTCAGGGGAAGGTTCAAACGCAATTCGAGGAAGTGGTGGAACACGAGGAAGTGTTGGATCACGCGGAGAGAGAGGCAGAAGATGACAACAGGAAAATTTGTAAGACTGAACGTGTTAATGTGGGGATGCAGGATTAATTAATAGATTTCCCCATCTTGGATGGTCGTTTAGAGTCAAAGGAGTTAGAGGATGGGATTAATATGGGCCTTACAAATAATTGTGCTCTCAAAAGATCCAAGGGAGAGGAAGTCCAACAGGATGGGGCTGTGGTTGACCGGGTGGATGGAAAACCCAAATCGGGGATAGTAAGTGAGGATTTGGACCAGAGACTTTGCTTGTCAACACAATTGAGGGACGATTTCTTCACACACAATCCCAGGCAGAACCACAGAGCAAAGGAGGGGATAAATAAAATTTTTAGCTCTATCCAATTAATTCAAGAGGAATATACAGCTCCCCAAAGGAAGGCTAGATACTGCCGAAGCAAGAATTATCAAAAGAAGGTGCAACGCGAGGAAGAATTGACTGAACTTGAAGGCTCACGTGGGTTTCAGAAAGCTATAGCGGTGGAAGAACTGGAAGTTTAAGGTGTTTCGCTTATGATTATTGATAATGGAGTTGGAGGTTCGGTTGGTCACCGGCGACATGTCGATCAATAAGTGGTAGAAAGGCGGATTGAGTGATTTCGAAGCTTGCTTTTTGTAATCTTAAAGTGTCGAAGCTCATGGCTTTTGTGTTAGAATTTGGCTTCTATGGAATGAGTCAGTTGATATTGAGGCTAGATGATGGGTTCTTTCAGAGTATTTGCAATTCCAGGATTTCCGTTTTTGCTGGAGCTTATTGCTATCAAGAGGGGTCTTCTTCTTTTGAGCCATTCTTCAGAGGTTTAAGAATCGAGGGATCGTTGATTCTGATAGCATCTTGTTGTGGATTGGGTTAAGAATTTAGATTTTGTTGTGGATTGGGTGCTATCAGAAGGGTTGACTGTACAACTTTTTTGGAAGCTGATAACTTAGCTTAGGTTGGTATTGGGTAGTTATTGTTGGTTGGATTAGGATGTTGTTCTATTGTGTGAAAGATGTGTTGTTTGGTGTGTTTCGGGTTGTTATTGTAAGGGGATTGTTGGTTTAATCTTTATGTAATCCTTTTCGTATTAATGAATTTTGAGGCACTCTTTTCCTCCTTCCGCTGATTAAGGAACACCGATTGGTGTTACGTTAATCATAAAGGGGGTTTTTAACGAGGTCTCCACTTCCTATCAAAAAAAATATACATAAAATGCATTTCCAGTAGGCAGTAGCAACCTTTGCATTCTGACAATAGTCCAAAATACACATTGTTTGGGGGCAAAGAGGAACTCTTTTGCCTAATGGGAACCTGTTGTGCAGAAATTCTACAGCACCTTAGCTGGATGGAAGGCTAAATCCCTATCGTTGACTGAAAGGGTTGTTTTGGTGAAATCCGTTTTGTGCTCTCCCCATTTATTTCCTATCTATTTTTCGGATACCAATTATTGTTTTCAACAAGTTAAATTCAATTATGGCAGCTTTTCTATGGGGAGGCTCGGCAGAAAAGAAGAACATTCATTGGTTGAATTGGAAGTTGGTGAGCAAGCCAAAGAAATTGGGAGGTTTGGGGATTCCGAATTTGGCACTTTTGAACAGGGCTTTAATGGGGAAATGGGTTTGGAAATTTGCATCAGAGAAGAGCTCATGGTGGAAGAAAGTTATGTGCAGTGTGAATAATTTGGATCCAAACTCTATGATGATTGGGAACAATTGCACAGCTAGAGTGTCTTGAATATGGAGAGGTGTTGTAAATAATTTCTTTTCTATTGATGAATTATGGACCGCCTTAGGAAAAACATGTGTTTAAAAACTGGAAATGGAGAATCAGTGGAGTTTTGGAATGATATATGGCTGGGTATGGTTCATTTGAAAGAGAGATTTCCGAGACTTTTTGCATTGCCGAATAACAAAAAGGGTAAGGTGGCAGAATTTAGGATGAACAGTAATTCCAGTTCGGTTTGGGATATACAAATGAGAATGAATTTGGTGGATTGGGAGGTTGAGCAATGGTTGCAGCTTATTTCCTTGTTGAACAACACAACTCTTTCATTATTGGAGGAAGATTGTTGGATATGGCTAGGAAATGGGGAGGGTTGTTTTTCAGCTAAATCGTGTATCACAAAATTTTATGATCAGGAGGTCAATGATGGAGAAGAGGGTATTAGGGATAGGCATGTTTGGGCAGGGGTTGCTCCACGTGTAGAAGCGTTTGTTTGGCAAATTGCACATCAAAGAGTTGCAGTTAAGGAGGAATTGTTGAAAAGGGGAGTGACTGGGATTGATGATCCTTTATGTCCGATGTGTGGGAAGTGTGAGGAGTCAATTTCACATATGTTTTTGCATTGTGAGGTGGTTTGGATTCTGCGGTCTCGATTTTTTAGGGACTGTAACGTTTCTTTTGGGTTCCTAAGAAGCTGTTAGACTTTTTAGTGATGTGGGATGATTTATTTCCGACATCTACTATTTGGAAATTCATTCCAAGGGCGGTGGTGTGGTTGGTTTGGAAATGCAGAAACGAGATTATTTTCCAGAAAAGGAAGGTGGATTCTGCAATGTTGTTCTTTCTGTCTAGATTCAGAACTGCTTCTTGGTTTGGGATGAGATTTAAGGATGTTAAAGTCCCTTTTGATTCTCTAGTTGGGGACCTAAAACTGGCAGATTCGAGAGGATTTCAGAAAAAAAGGTGTTCTCCTCCTACTAAGTGGGTACCTCCTCCAGAAGGTTTCCTTAAACTTAATGTTGATGGGGCAATGGCTAAAGGATAGGACAAAGGTGGAATAGGTGGTTTAATTAGGGATGAAAGGGGTCTGTTACTTGGTTCATTCTCAGAAAAAATTGGAGGCGGTCCTCCTATTTTTGCAGAGCTAATGGCGATCAAAAGAGGTTTGACTCTCATTGAAGAAATAGGTTCTTCTCCAAGACAAAGGATTATCTTGGAATCGGACTTGACAACGGCTCTGAAGTGGATTAAAAATCCAGATTTGTGTACCCCTTTATTCCAGGCCTTGGCTAGAGGTGTAGCGTCTTATGTGGAAGGAAAGGGCATCATTTCAAGACATTTTTTGAGAGCGGCTAATTGGGAAGCGGATGAGTTAGCAAAAACTGGTATAGGTTGATCTAGTGGTAATGTGGTGTGGTTCTTAAGTTGCTGTGCTTAGTCAATTTTTTAGGGTTCTGGTTTTACTGCAGCAGTATGTGTTATGTTTTTAAGTCTTATGTTACAAGCAATCTATGATTAGGAATTGATTGTACGTTATGATTCAGATTAATAAAATTCAGAGGCACTCTTTTCCTCCTTCCTATGTCCTTCATGTAATGATATAACATGTAGGATATGAAGGGGGTTTTAATGAGGCTTATCATCTATAAAAAAAATACACATTGTTGTCATAAGAGAAACAAAAAAATGTGGCAAAAAGAAGTCAGCAATAAATAACCTAAGCAATCATATCTCTGTCTCTGCTATCATAGTCAATGAACAAAAGCATTGATCTTTATATACATTTTTGTCACAAGACAAACAAAATAGCGTCAAAAGGAAGGCAGCAGTAAATAACTCATGCAATAAGATCTCCCCCTGCCATCATAGTTAATGAACAAAAACCTTAATCTTTTAATACAATGTTTTTAAATTTGACTACCCTAACCTTTCTGCATCTTGCCATGAAAATTAAACCTTTAATAGAGAAATATTTGGATATTAACTGCATTCTATACTGCTGAACTTGACTATTATTATTCAGAATATCATTTTATGGAAATTAACCTTTGCACGTATGGCCTCCTCTCTTAGTTTCCTCTCTGCTTGAAGCTTCCTAAACACTTGGTGTTCTTCCTCAACCCAGAACAGCTCTTCAGGAATGTTTTTGGGGACAATAGTATGAAAATCTTGACGATTGTTGTTATCATATATAGTGGCAACCTTTGGTGGTCCATTAGCAAATACCCAATCTAACACCAGGGCTCGGTCGGGTATAACAACTGCAGAACAATTCAATCTCAATCATAAGCTAAACAGCCCAGGAAGATTGATTCTAAGTTTTAGACTTACAGGAGATCACCTTTAAAATCATACACGAAGTACTAACTAAAATTTAAACACAAGATAAATTGTCAAACATACCTTCTGTATACCACCAATCACCACCCTCTCTCTCTGATCTGACAAGCTTTTCAACAATTGTTAATCCATCACTCCAATTATTATGCCCTCCATGAATCCAAAGTTCATTGGCATGAGCAAGAGCGCCTGAAGTTTTTTTATAATATAACTTGACCTTGTCTGCCCCTTTGAATTCATTAGGCTCTATGAACCAAATGTTATCAGCCGATCTTGCAGCATTTTTCATCCACCGTTCCAATATTTCTCGCCTCTTTTGAACGACCGCCTTTGCTTGTGCTCTGTCTTCTTCGTTTGCTGCCTTCTCTGCTTCTATTCTTCTTTGCTCTTCTTCCTGCCTTTTCTTTTCTTCTTGCTCTTTTGCAAATTTCTCTAGTTCCCTTCTTTTCTCCTCAAGCAAGAAATCTTCAAAAGCAAACTCATCCATTCCACCCTCCACGGTAATGCAGAAATCTTTTTTGTCATTATTGTCGTATAAATTCTGTCCATTAAAGAACACAAAATCCATCTTGTAAGCTTCCTTCGGAACATGAATCTGGCAAGACCACCAATCCGGTTTGAGATGAGTCTTATTCAACCTTATAGTGAAGGATCTCCATCGCCAGCTATTGAAGGCTCCCATGATTAGAATATCTGGCTCATCATTTAAAGGGGATAAGCTCCTATTAAAGAACACTTCTATTTCTTCACCGGGCCTTACAATCTGAGGATAAACAAAAATTTTGTTCCCCTTCAAGAAGTTTTCATCTGCAAGCCCCTCGATTTCCTGTTTACGCAAGTTTTCTTCCATCTCCAACTTCAGTTTTGCCAAAATATCTTCAACTGTTTTTTCATCAGGCTCAACACTTTCATCCTTTAGAATATCATTGTCATCAGTTTTTGTACCATCCAAATGCTTTCCTTCAGTAACAATGTCATCAGCTATTGTACCATCCAAATGCTTCCCTTCAGCAACAGTCTCATCAGTTATTGTGTCATCCAATTGCTTTCCTTCAGAAATTATATATCTTGATGTACTCACAGTATCATTTTCCAAAATTACTTCTTTCTTCTGTAACCCCGCTACATCTTCAACAAACTTACTTACACTTCCATTTTCTGCATTCAAATTGCTTTTGGCAACAGCTAGCTCTTTTCCAGTTGATGCTACATATCCAATGGTCAATTCTTCATCAGCTTTTGATTCAATTTCCGTTTTGTTGGGCTTTTCAAACTCTCTCGATGTAGGAATGCTTGAATCCTCCTCCTCATCATTATTCTTTTGATACCTCTTCTCGTCACTTGTTCCTGCTTGATTTTTCGGGGTGAAGCCCTTTGGAGATGAACCGGAAGACAATTTTCTTCGTCTCCTCTTTGAAAAATCTATAGAAAGCCACAAATTTTTGAGAAAAACAATAAATCAAAAATTTATTGTCAGGAAAATGTTAATTTGAACCCATAGCACATCAGTTGGCAACAACTAACCTGCTGCACTAGCAGTAACTTTATGTTGAACCCTTCCAGCAAGGCACTCACTTCGCCACGGAATGAACTGAAATCAATAATCAATACAACAATAAGCATAAAACGTAAAAGGCGCCCCAATACAGTTCCACTTGAAATTACACTCAGAGAAATGCTAACAACAGACATACCACCATCAGAACCAGTTGTACTACGAAAAAGAAACGAGATATCTACGGATAACAATAATAAACTGGAAACAAAATGCTCAGCTAAATACAATGGGAGAACAATCATTTTGCTTATTAAACAAAATAGAAATACAATAACCCGACATAGTGAAACCACCAAAGACGAATAACTAGTACCACTTATCAACTTATCATTTCAATTAAGAAAGAAACCAACAAACAGATACACCTACAAACCCAATCCTTGAACTCAAAATCAAACTCAACAAGCAAAAGAAGAAAAAATTAGATAGAAAATTTACCAGTACAGTTCTCGCAAAAGGCAAAGAATTGATCTTGAAACAATCAGTCCTGTGGTTAAGCAGAGCTTTGTATCTCAATGGTCTTTGCAATTGCAAAGACACTTCCATGGATAAATTGTCAGAACACAAAATAGAAAGTTTATAGTTGAGCTTTTGCTTCTATGGAAATCTCTAGCTTCACTGAGATCTACAGCCAACTGATTCATTCAATAACTTTGATCCCTCTCAACAACCGTGCACATCCAAAACCAATTCTTAGAAAAAAAAACCAAAACTTTAAATTATACAGAAAAAGAAGAGAAGATGGTAGTGAGCAGACTGATGATAAAACCCGGCATCAAAAGACCCTAGAATCTCAGCCAGAGAAGGACTACAGTTTAAAATGTTTTGTAAAGGATTGATGACGGCCAAACTTGGATTATTAGTTAATCGTACGGTGGGATATGATTTGTAAAGGATTGATGACGGAAAAACATGGATTATTAGTTAATCCTCCGGTGTGATAAGTACCTAGAATGTTTGTTCTGACAAGTTCGGTTGTAGACAAGAATAGCCCATGACAAACCATGTTATAAAGATCTGTGAATGTTTTGGAAGTAGTAAAAGAAGCTTTTAGAGGCTCTTAGTTCGTGTGAGGGTGAGATGCCGAGAGGGGGTGTAGGAAGAACCATAGATTTGGAATTGAATCAATATCAACTAGGACATTGAAACGTCAAATTGTAACATGCCACGTAGTCATAATCTTTTGTGGATTGTTTATATTCCATTGTTGTTGTTGTTTAGTTTCTCCAAGTTGATTGTCTTCTTTCACTATTCAAAACTATAATTCATTAAACTATTAGCTACCCTTCAATGGTGATACTAAATTTTAGGTAAATCATACCTTGCAGTAAAAAATAAATTCAAAATCTGCAAGCAACTTGCTTATCTTATGGAAGTTATAAAGAAATATTTTTGAAGCAGTAATCATCAATTCCCAAAATCTTTAGTCAGTTTTTTTTTTAATGCCAACTGAACTGAATTTGATGAAGCTTAGCAAACCCAAGAACATGTGAATGCCACTGTGCTAAACTTTTCTTTTCTTTTTCCTTGTTTACCTGCACAAATCTATGTGTTGTTGCTTTTGGACACTGCAAAAGCGGTGGCTTAGCATATTTGGTGTATATCGTTAATAAGGTTACTTAGGCCGCGCCCTCAACGTGCCTTATTTCCGACCTCGAATAACGTATTAAATAAATTTATTTATCAATAGATTTTATCACATTTATTATATAGTTATCACGATATAGGTAAAAAATAATTGCTTTTCCCCCTAAGATAAGAAACTTCAACGTAATTATCTTAAATATATATAATATAATAAATTAAACGACATGATATTTTTATATAATGTGATTAAGTTTAATTTGATTAGTCTTTACGTTGATACGAGGGACGGGATTAAAATTAAACGTTGAGGGTGCAAATTATTTTATATAAAAAAGAACAAGATATATTAGGTATTTGACTAATATTTAAACTAAAAAAAGACCTTAAATGTCTTCATACCAAAAATTTTGAGAGGGCAACGGTCCTTCCCAATCACAAAATAGATTTGTCCCTAGTTGATATAATACAAGTATTATTATATAAACCAAGCAACTTTAGTGGTTAATAAATTGTTGTTAGCCCTTAAGATCTTAGATCCGAACACCACATATATAAAGACGTATGAGCGTTCAAAAATTTTTGAACAAATATTACCTTATATTTACTTCATATTAATAAAAAAACATCAAATCAAACATGCTCAAACATTTAATATTTTTCTAGTTTATGGATGAAGAGTCTAGATAGTATAAACATAACATCCTAAACTACGGGTTAGTGATTAAATTGTAAAATTTCAGAATTTGTTGATTAAAGTGGAAATGTTGAATGTTTCAATGATTTATTTGTGGATATTTCCTTAAAGTTATTAGTAATTATTAAAGGAATTAAAGGGCAAAATGTCATTTGTCATGAAAGATATTTTTCTTATCTCTTTAAGAAGAGATAAACACGTTGGGGGGGGGGAAGAGTATCTAGAAAACTCTTCTTCTTGCTTTCTTCTTCTCCAATGTGTTGAACAAAGGTGAGTTTCTATTTAGTTGATTATTTGTTGATTTTATGAGTTAGTTTTGATCATTAGATGATAACTAAGCTTAAGGAAAACTTAAGTTATCTTAAAATCAAAAGATGAAGTTATGAAAGATTAAAGAGAAAGAGTTTCTAAATGAATTTTCGTAAAAGCGTTGATAAGTTGAATTTGAAGTTAAATTTGATTTGCCATCAGTTTAATTAAGAGATATGAAGTGATAGAATTGAAATTAGAACATATTGAAAATCGGGTATGATTCTTGAAGTTCATAAAGAGGAGAGGATTTTGAGGTTTTAGATGAGATAAATGGATATAAATAAGTTTAAGTATGTATATGTAAGTTAAGAATATGAAAGGGGATGAAATATGAAGTATTCAAGTTGAATTGAGTGAATTTTTGTGTTTAAAATGTGGTTTCTGGGCTTGAACGAAAAATTACAGATTACGTAGGGGGTACAGATTCCCCCCTGGGGGGTATCGATTTCCCCCTAAAGAAAAAAAATGGAATTTTGGTTCATTAAACCGGCTTAAGTTATTAACATCAAGTTTAAGGTTTAGGATTCTGATAATTGTTTTGAAATGTTATATTTATGTAGATATTGAGCCTAAACAAGTTTCGTAACAATCAAAGAATTAGAATCGAATCAAAGCAAGGCTAAGGTGAGTGCAATTTAATTGTACGTATGTTATTGAACATACATTGGCTTGCGATGAGCCAGTAGCGGAGTTACTATGGTAAGAAGTGACTCCTAAAATGTTATATAGTTGATGGAATTCTTATATGTGCATGAGTACATGAAAATAGATATATGTTATTATATGTGATTATAAGAACAATAAAATGAATACATGCATATGTCTATAGAGTAAGTGTATTTCTACATGTGATTTATGTGAATGCATATATGCGTGAATATGTTTGCTACGATTACATGATCATAAAATATAAACCATGTGATAAGTGATATGTGAATATATGAAATTATGAGACAAATGATTAAGTGCTTAAGAAATATAAGTAATGAGATAGGTGACATGTGAATCAAATGGAAATGATTTATGCATAAGTTTATATGTTATTCTATGTGCTATGTTATGTATATATGAAGAAGATGTGACATATGTGCTTGTATAAAAACATGAGAAATGATATAAGTCATATGAAACTATCTACGTGAATACATGCACTTGTGATACATGTGATATAATATGAGATATATGGTTACACATACATGTGGTATGTGACAGAAGAGAAAGAACAAGTGATATGAATATGTGAAATGATAAATAATAATGCCCATGTTATATAATACGAGATCTATAGGTATATTTGGCATGCCAAGAGTCGAGGGTCTACGCGGTTCTACGGGACAATTCTACGTGGTCCTTCAGGACATATATGTAATTCCGTGAAACATGTATGTGGTACTTCAGTACACTTATTTGGTCAATTGTATTATGTATATGGTTCTTAAGGAGTGGTCCTTCGGGACAAATGTGATATGTGGTCATTCGGGACACATGTGATATGTGGTCCTTCGGGACATAGTAGTCCTTCGGGACATTTCTACGCGGTCCTTCGGGACAAATATTCAGTGCCCTAGTGGGAATTTATACGAGCTGTGGTGACAACATTAGTGCACAACCTCAATGTACTCACATACTTTCAGTTCTCAACAATGTACGTAGGTTAATAAAGAGATTTAATAAGTATATTGAATATGATATGTATATGTGGTTTGTTATATGGAATAGATCACAAGATATATGTTTTTAGTTATATGAACTGTATTACATGAATTCTATGATGCTAAGTGTATTTCTTTATGAAATGATATATGATGGGTATAAATGATAAGTATATGATGATATGATAAAAGGTATTAATGATAATAATAGGATAATGATAAGGAAGAAGATAATCATATATGTATATGTGTGGATTTGATATATGAATAGAAATATGATGGTATATGTGCATATATGCATTTTGATATATGAAATGTTTGATGTTTTTTATTACATGTTTTTATGCCTCACTAAGTCATCGACTTAGCGTGTGATTGTTTCACGCGTAGGTTTTAAGAAGAGGAAGATTGATAAAAGTTATGCAAGACATGTCAGTTCCTCCTTTCCAAAGATCAGATCAGAAAAGAAATTAATAGTATGTATTTTGTAATAATTATAGTGGTTGGCATGTAAATAAAGTTTTGAATCTGATATATTCTAAATGGTTAGTAAAATCATATGATTGAGTTTTGTAATGTTTCAAATGTAAATGAAAATTTTATACAAATGAAAACTTAGATTTTTATGAATTTATACATATTTTACGAAAGTACTGTAGCAGGGGATTTGGTTACCCTAAGGACAATTTTATCATTCGGCACTGTTCACTACTGTTCATACGATATTGTTCACTGTTCTACCATATTTTATTGTTCATAAAACGTATATTTTCTTAAATTGATTATAACAAACATGACTCAACAATATATTATCGTATTTTCTTAAAAAGAATTCAAATGTTTTGATATTTTGTAAGAATATCGTTTTTAAAAGTCAATGTAACATCTCGCATTCAAGTCGGATACGGGATGGAGTGTTAAAATAAATATTTTGTATTGAATTGTTCAATAATATATTCCTACTAGCATAACTAATGATTTATAAAGGTAAGTAAATATGGTTTTTAAGTCGATTGCGAACGGAGTTTGACACAAAAAAACTCACCCAAAAATTATATTTAAGTGTAGGTAGATACTAGGCAAACACATAATTTATATAATAATAAAAAATTAGCAATTGGTTTATAAATGCAAAGAAAAACAACAACAATGTCTTAAAATCTATGTAAGTCGGAGCTTTTTTAATCCAAGATGCTTGGATGTGCTTCCCAGAAGCTCTGCTCAATTATATTACAATATTCTGTAATTATTTTGGTTTCAGTTTTCTCAATAGAAGAATCATCATTCTCTTCCATCGAGGTATTCTCTCTCTGCAAAAAAACCCGAATAAAAAATCAAACATCAGTATAATTTATGCAGTAAAACTTCATGAATAAACACTATGCGGAGAAGCAACCTTAACCCGGAAAATGGAAGAACCCTGGCGGAACATGAGTGGCAGTGTAGTGTAGTCGATGCCAAACTCTTTAAGCAACAATTCGTTTTTCTCACGTGCTTGAGTGCCCTGCGATTGCAGAATATATGTGGTTGATATACCAAGGACATACCATTGTTCACTATATTCTTGACAAAACACCATTTTAAGTAACTGTAAGATAATACAAACTAAATTCATGAACGCCATTTCGGAAAACATACTCGAGGGACACTCAGTCAGCAAACTGAAGAATATTCGTTGGCTAAATATGACAAAAGGAACAAGCGGAAAGCTACTATGCAAGATTTCCACACAAGAGTGCTAGAACATAATAACCAGAAAGAGACCTTTAGGTAAATTTGAGCTTCGCTTTTGCTTTTCCCCGATTTAACGAGATTCCAGAAACAGGTATTGTACTGATTATTGATGTGACCTGCATCCAAATATGTAAAAATGCCAGGTTTTGATAAGTGGTATTACACTAACAGCAGTGATCAAGAAAAGGCACGTAATAATGTTTCGTCCATTAAGCCTCCTCCGCTTCACTTTACCAGGGGAAGAAACAATTTGGTTAAAAGACACTCACAATCAACTTGTCTCCACGCCAGATAATCTTGAAGTATTTCATTTGATGGGTAACACACCGCCCGTCCATCAAAAGATGAAGGGTACTTCAAATCTTTGTTCTGGAAGACATCTTTCCATTTCATTACGTACATTGAAGAGAAAAAGGATACAATAGCAGAAACAATTTTGCTGACACAAGTGATATTATCCAAAATTTAGTAGAAAGGAGTGTCAGAAAACAAAAAATTTAAAACTTCTCAAGCTAAAGATAAGGATGATAAGAGATCAAGGAGTCAGTAGTCGCCCATAAGCATCATGCACAGACGGTGTTAAAAGTTGTAACTGTTCAGAAAAATGAAGAACAAGTGGACAACAAACCTGGCTTGCCTCTGATAGAGCTGAGAATCCTTCTTCAAAACATAGCTGAAAGCAATAACAAACTTAAAATGATTTACTTAAGTGTGTAAACAAACAGCCTAAACAAATGTATTACCTGTACTCATCACTAACTCCATAAGAGAAAACAATATCCTGAAACTCTTCTAACACAGCCATTGCACATAAATTCATAAGATCCAGAGCTTGAATATCATTAGGTTTGTTGAATTCATGAACATCAGAAAATCTGCCGAAATGAAAACAACAAAGTTAAGTTTCAAAGCATCCAGACATATAATCAAACAAAATTTTGTGCATCAAATAGATTGTATGTCACAGCAACCCATCTTTTCCAAAATGAATTCACCATTTTCAAGTGAAATGGGGCAGTTATTCCAAAATTGTCCATTGATTGACAGTCAAAGGAAGAAACATATACCTCAGTAGCTGTTTTGCAATACCTGTGAAAATGGCAGCCATCTATTCTAATTACAACCCAAGTAGATGGCATCAGCTTGCTCTCAAATACAAAGGATCTGATGTAATCGGGGTTTATTTTGAAACAGTCATCGGAGAAATTTCCCAGCTCTTTAAGAAGAATTGCATGTGCATTCCAAAATCTTCTACTAGCTATATTTTCTGAGCGGAAAATACTTGTCTTTCTCCGCAACCTCTTCACTGGTGTTCCGTCCTCATTGTACTTTACAAAATCCTCCACCTTAAAAAAGTAAAAAAGATAATATTCACTGAAAAATACAAATATGACATATCGAAGAATATAATAAAGAGAGAGGAAAAGGCTGACAGACCAAATGAAATTGCGTTTGCACTCCTAAGGTGTTGTTTAACTAGAAAACTTGATACAAAATATCAGAGAAAAGGATTCACAATATAGTAAGGTTTTGTTTGAAAAAGTATCATGTCTCAAGTCCCAAGATACAGCAATATATCTAGATCACAAAATGCTACTGAAAGTTATGCGAAGTACTTTGGTATTTGCAGATCAAGGAATGCCCTTTCTGAAATACATGATCGTTGATTCAGATATGACCAGCTAACCTAGGAACTAAACAATGAACTTTTAGAATACCTAGACCATACGCTATTCAAAAGTGTTGAAGAATACCTCATTCTTGAAAATACAAGTTCCTTGACGAAACAATGCAAGACTATCATTGTAGTTAATACCAAACTGTTGATGGAGAAGTTCATTTCTGTCTTGTTCTTTAGCATCCTGCAGAATCAACAGACACAATCATACAAAGCATAAGAACACCCAACCATACATTATCTGAACCTAAAAGGACTTCTGCTCAAATGGAGAGTTTACAATAAGAAGGCAATGGTGGTCAATTAGAATGACACATCAACTATCAACAGCCATGCATGAAATGGCATTTTTTCTCTTAAATGACAAAACAAAAAAGAATGAAATTAACATCAAGAGCTGCACTGTCCATAAACTACCAAACTTCTTGTAGAGAATGGGAAATGTGCAAACACATAGGAGCACATACACCACAAAAGTACACACACATGAAGACCCATACATTAGCAGTTTAGGACCTTTAGAAATTCTTGTGCTTCAGTTTCAGTCTTTCCACCATTTTTCACAAGCTCCCAGAAACAAGTATAATACTGATTCTGATCATGACCTGCCTAACCGTGCAAAAAAAGGATTAATATATTCTAACTGATGCAAATTTATGGCAAAAAGAGTAATTGTTTTTTAGGAATTTCATTGGTGGAGTATCATCACTTACAGTCTCTTTGTCTCCATGCAAGATACACTTGAAGAACCTCTAGTGATGCACAACAAACAACTCGTGAAAGAAATGAGGGTGGATATCTCAATTCCTTATGGGGAAAGAACTCTTTCCATTTTGTGACATATACAGAAGCAAAGCATGATACAATGACGGAGGATATCTTGCTGCATGTTCATTGCCAAATTGAAAAGGCTCAATAGTTCAGTATAAATTTTAAAAACAAATAAAAGTCGCCTAAACATGTATAATTCTAAATAGGAAAAATAAGCGAAACCTGCTTCGCCTCTGGTAGAACTTGGATGTCTTCTTCAAAACAAAACTGAAAAAACAATTCAAATAAAAAAATTAGATATATAAAGTTCTGAATAAAAGATGCCAGATGAATAACAAACTAAATCCTATTACCTGTACTCATCGCTATATCCATAAGAAAAGACAATATCAGGATACTCCTCCATAACAGCCATTGCACATTGGTTCAACAAATTTAAGGCTCTCTCATCATTCGGTTTCTCAAACTCGTGAACTTCAGAAAATCTACCGGAAAAGAAAGAATATATCAGAATTCAATAAAAACGAGTCTATTTTTCATAAAATTTATTTACCTGCGAAAATCGCGTCCGTCTATACGAATGACGATCAAATTGGGAGGCATTATTTCGTCTTCAACCTCAAAAGACTTAACGTACTCGTATTTGCTATTCGCCATTATCTGAAGTTGCGGTTTTCTCTCACCGTACAATGATCGAGCACTTGGTGCGCAACGTTGCGGATGGCACACGCGAAGACAGAAGCTTTCGAAGTTTTAAGTTCACAAAGGGAAGGCGCACTTTTTCTTAAAAAAACTTTACATATACTAGCTGGATCTGGGTCTAACTCTAATTCAAAGTCCAACCCACTAGAGGTATTCGGGGGTGGTTTTTTTTTAATTAATAAAATGATATCTGATTTATTAATCGGTTAATTCAGATTGGATACTGTAAAGGTGAGAGTGACCCTTCCACCTAGCAGTTTGCTCCATTCGCAAATATCAGTATTCGAATCTCTAACCTTACTTAAGGGATTTAGTATCTCATTCCACTAGACTAACTGATTGTTGGTCATAACGGTCTGTTTAGGTCAGCTCAATTCTTTTCTAAAATTTAATTTGTTATTTTCACGTCGGGTGAAATTTCTAAAAGAACCACTGCCTAACTGAATTTTTTAATTAACAAAGAAAAATCTCAAATAAAAAAAAATTCGAAGTGGAGGAGATGGAGAAGTACTGGACTTCAAAGCGGAGAACGAAAGCTGATGCCTATGGCAAGACCCTCTTCTTGGTGTATCAACTCGGTTTATGGTCACTTTTACAAAGCTGTATTTCATAAATTTGAAAGATTGGACAAATGAATACTTATGGGCTACCACTCGTCCAAAAGGTAAATCGTTAATTTCCGACATTTTATGTAAGGAGAAAAAATTGCAAACTTTATGCTCACGTGGAATTTACTAAAACTATTACTCTTTCTTCACAGTTACAGAAATTCAGTTAGTGAAGACATACAATTCATGGGATTTTTGTATTTAAATCAAATGTTTAACGAGGAGATTGGAGTTTGAGCTTTTGCAAAGTTGAGGGAATTTAGTTTGCTATGGAAAAAGGCCCGAGTCCATAGGCTACTACAGCATAAAGCACAAAGCCCATAATTTAACCAAACTCTCCAATTTATCTGTTACCTTTCTCTTGGGTTACCTACCCTCGCGGATCAGAAGGTTCAGCTAAGGGTTTTTGGAGCCGAAAGAGAGAAAAAAGAGATAGAGGTGGCTGGGGAAAAATGGACTTTGACAGGAGGAAGGCATCCACACTAGCATCATTGAGCTCCAATGAAGCAGACAAATCTCCGAAAGGCTCTTTAGACACACCCATCATTCCTCTCATCAACATCATCAACAACCACCTTTCTTACTTCACCACCAGCTCCTGCTCCGGCCGCATCTCTATCCTTTCCCAACCCAAACCCGATCCCAAGTCAAGTAATCCCACCAAAAAGAAAGCCCGAGGAGGCACATGGCTCTTCATCACCCATGACGCAGCCGATCCCGACTCAGTCATCTCCCTCCTCTTCTCTGACTCGATCAAATTGACTCAAAACAGTGAGCTGGTCTTCCGGTTCGAGCCTCTTATCATTGCTGTTGAGTGCAGAGACTTGAATTCAGCTCAGAGTTTGGTTTCTTTGGCGATTGCTTGTGGGTTCAGGGAGTCCGGGATTACGAGCGCCAGCAAGAGAGTGATAGTGGGGATACGGTGCTCTATAAGGGTGGAGGTGCCATTGGGGGATACCCAGAAGATTATGGTGTCTGAAGATTACGTGAGGTTCCTTGTCGGCGTTGCTAATGAGAAAATGGAAGCTAATTGGAAGAGAACTGATGGGTTCCTTAGAGCTTTTCTAAAGAGTCAGGAAGGAGCGTTGGAGAATGGGGATGTTTCAAACTGTAGTAAGAGTGGTGGCGATTGTAATGAAGGTCAAGGTAGTTTCGAGAGAAGTTTTGGATATGCTCAAGTTGGTAATTTTTGTTCTAAATGTTGATTTTATTATTTTTGCCATTATTTAATGAGCCTTGAGTTTTGTGATTAAAATGAAATTTTGCATTTATGCTCGAATCTTTAATTCTGAGCTATTTCATTTATGTGCTTGCAGGACCTTGTTCCTAGTGAATCATTGGGGGAGAGTGAAGTAATTTCCAGATGCATTTTATATATTAGTCCGATGATAATTGCTGGTGAACCCATAGAGAGGTTGTTCCTTTGGGGCCATTCGGCTTGTACATTAGAAAACATGGACAAAACTGAAGTTCTTATATTTGGTGGCTTTGGGGGAAGTGGAAGACATGCAAGAAGAAATGATTCTTTTCTCCTTGATCCATTCCATGGGATATTGAAAGAAATTAATGCGGTAAGCCGTCCATCTCCTCGCCTGGGTCACACAGCTTCTTTAATAGGAGACTGTATGTTTGTTATTGGAGGCAGGGCTGATCCTACGAACATACTGAGCGAGGTATGGGTTCTGAATACGGTAAAGAATGAGTGGAGGCTGCTAGATTGCACTGGCAGTGCTTTTCCTCCCAGGTACTCATATCTTTCTTGTTCCACCTCTTGTTTTCATTGGGTTAAATAAATGTCATACAATTGCAAAATCGCTCCTTCAACATACTATGAATGTGTATAAATTAATGTTCTCATCTCTACTGTTTTCCCTCAACTTGACCGCATCTCTTTTTATTTTAGCTCTTAATTCGTTGTCTATATGTGTCTTGCACAGGCATCGGCATGCAGCAGCAGCTGTAGGATCAAAGATTTATGTCTTTGGTGGACTTAATAATGATACAATCTCTTCATCCTTGCACGTTCTTGACACCAATACATTGCAATGGGAAGAATTGGTGGCCTATGGTGAATGGCCATGTGCTCGTCATTCTCACTCAATGGTAGCATATGGATCTAAGATATTCATGTTTGGGGGGTACTATGGTGAGGCTCTTGGGGACTTATACAGTTTTGATATTCTGACATGTTCATGGAAAGTAGAAAAGGTAGGTGGAAGAAGCCCACACGCGAGGTTCTCCCACTCCATGTTTGTGTACCAATATTATATTGGAATAATTGGAGGTTGCCCTGTAAGACAACATTGTCAAGAGTTGGCATTACTAGATACGCGAAGCCTGTTCTGGAGGCATGTGATCCTCAGTTCAATGGATAAAGAACTGTTTGTGCGTTGCACAGTCAATGTTGTTCATGATGATCTTATTATGGTTGGGGGTGGAGCAGCATGCTATGCATTTGGAACCAAGTTTAGCGAGCCAATGAAACTCAACTTGCTTCCTTTATTATCTCTAAATGACCATGACAGTTCTTCAAGGCATGGAGAAAATCACGGTAATAAGCAAGAGGGAGGCCTGATGGGAAATGATAATTTTCTTTTTCAAGCTCCACATGTTGGAATTGGTTCAACTCAATGTCCTGAGACACAAAGCTTAAATGTTGAGAACCATATGGGACTTACATGTGCTTCAGGTTGGGTTGTAAAACTTGAAAAAAGACATGCAAAATTGGGGAAGGACATATTGAAGAAGTTTGGATGGTTAGATCAAGAGAGAAAAGTGTATGCACACGAGAATGGTTTATTCATCTCTTTCCCTGTGACAGAGAAGTTTTGTGCTATATTCCTAGAAGACAAATTTGAAAGTTCGGGTGACCATCTATTGAAAACATTTAAAGCTGAAAGTTTTCTCTTAAATGAGATGTCCTCCTCAGCAGCTTTGGACGTTCTTAAGGAAATTGGTGCTATTAAGTTGCCAGATGAGGTTGTTCAAAAAAGAAAAGCTTCCAAATCTCCCCTAAAAATAATGACTGAAGCTGTTGCCTCTTTGATTAGGCAAAAGGGGTTATCAGATGAACTTCTGGAGCAGCTACCAAACAGGTTTGTTTCATTAGTTCACTTTATTTGCTCTGTGCCAGTTTCAGTTATGTGAAACTTATTTAGTCAGATATAGAGTGGCAGTGGCTTGCTTCTGTTCTCTATGTGTAAACGTGGATGCAATATCCTCTCAAAATTTTAACATCTTTTGGCTAATTCAGGTGGGAACGACTTGGTGATATTATTGTGCTCCCAATTTCTTCCTTCAGGGACCCGGTATGGGATTCAATTGGAGAGGAGCTTTGGCCAATTATTGCCAAATCCCTTAATACCCATCGCCTTGCACGGCAGGTAAGATATATCGACTGATAATTGTTTCATTCTTTACTTTCTTAAAAAACTTTTGGTCTTAGGTTGATTCAGTCTAACACCGTAAACTATTTTCTTGTATAGTTAGTTGGACAGTTGATTAATTATGACCAATTTTTACATGAAAGGCGAAATTATTTCAAGAGATGAATTTGAAGGTTTTAGTTTGTTTATGTATTTAACTGTTGGTTCCATTTTGTTGTAGGAATTATGAATTGAATTATATTAACTGTTCATATTTAGACGAAGAGTCGATAGTTTCGAATCTTATCGATACCATTCATCATATAATGTATGCCACTTGTGCACTCATTGAATTATTTCTTATAATTTGTCAAGGGTCGGGTTGCTGCAAATGGTACGAGGGACGGTACTTTGGAGATACTTGTAGGAGATAGTGGCTGGGTTGATCATCATGAAAATGGGATTCTATATTCTTTTGATTCTACTAAGTGCATGTTCTCTTGGGGCAATCTTTCTGAGAAAATCCGTATGGCCAATTTGGATTGTACAGATGCAGTCATTGTGGATCTGTTTGCTGGAATTGGATATTTTGTGTTGCCTTTCCTCGTTAGGTATGTTGTAATTATGATTTTTATTTCTTTCAAAATTTTCTCCAAATCTCGAGTATTTTCAGCTTTCTCTCTAATACATGCACATTAAATCCAAATCTAAATGCATGCTAACTTGGTTTTTGCGACCTTTAACTAGAAGTAGACTTATTTTTTCCCACTGATATTGATATTTGATAGATAATTTTGTTGGTCTATCATATTTTGCTATCTGTCTTGATCTACAGTTTATTGTAATAGTGTTGGACTATAAATTATTGAATTAATGGTATGACACTTATCATTTTGTGGGTTATGTAGAGGGTAAGGATTTCTCGTACCATTCCACCATTGTGTTCTTAAATTACAAGATTTGATGGGGAATCATTAGCATAAGGAGATTTGCTATTATAGTTTCAGTTTTCAATCAGCTGACTTACAATGCATGCAATTTCATTGATTCATTTCTCTTTTCTATTCCGGTGTTGCTTTTTTTCTCTTTAAATTGTCCTGCTCATCAATCAGGGCAAAAGCAAAGCTGGTCTATGCTTGTGAATGGAATCCTCATGCCATTGAGGCTCTTAAACGTAATATTGAAGCCAATTCTGTCTCTGATCACTGTATCATACTTGAAGGAGATAATCGGATTACAGCACCCAAGGTATGTTGACATGCTTAATATCTGCATGGATGCATTGTAAACTTCTATACCGGAAGTGTGCAATGTAGCATGTGGAAATATATAATTTTTCATGAAATGATCCGATATTGGTTTTTGAAGTTTTCATCTATTTAGATAGACTAAAAGTAATGTATTGCCATGTCAACATGAGCCTGAAGTATCAAAATGAACCGTGTGTTGATTGATTACTATTGATTATTTCCTATAGGGAGTTGCAGATCGAGTTTGTCTTGGTCTTATCCCATCAAGTGAGGGTAGCTGGCTTACTGCTGTGAGGGCATTAAGGTTCTTTCTTTTGATGTTATTACTTGTGTTTCATTTCATGTCATCTCTTGTACTTGTTTCGACTTTGAATTCAATGATGAAATAGAATGGAGCTGCACGGTGATAGGAAATATCTAGTGATTACCTTCTTTGTCTTAGATTCATTGCTTCTCAGTTCTCCCAATTTGCAATTGTTTCTCAGTCAAGTCCACAACAATATGTGTGTAGTATTTTCCACTTAAAGGAACTGGGGTGTCTGCGCATTCTTCTCTCTTTCTGACCTTGCTTGATGTCACGTTTAATGGTATTAAAAATGCAGGAGTGAAGGTGGGATATTGCATGTCCATGGGAACGTGAAGGACACCGAGGAGGAATCGTGGGCTAATCATGTTTCAAAATCGATATCGGAGTATGCAAGATCTGAGGGTATGACTTTCTTAGCTTATGTTAACACATTTCTACATGCAGGGATTCATGTTTATTTAAGAAATAGCGGTTTACTTGAGTGACTATGGTTGCGTGCAGGCCGTTGTTGGGAAGTTGCTATTGATCATGTGGAGAGAGTGAAATGGTATGCCCCACACATACGCCATGTTGTTGCTGATGTTAGATGCAGACAAATCTAGCATGAATTGTTTCGTGACAATGAGGTTTACCCATTAATGGCCTACTTAAGTAGTTGTATGTGAATTCACAACCTGCTCATTACTCATTTATTCTCCCTAAACCCGAATAACTCTGTTCAGCCTCGGGTAAGTCGGTCATGTAACACAATGTACTGAAATTAAAACATCTTTTACATTTTTCTTTTAATCTAATCTCGAAAGACTCCGTTATTTTACATTTTTCTATTTGAACTCGTTGAAATCGCAATGTCAAAGTCTTCATCATACGAGATTAAAGTCGAAAGCTTAAAGCAGGCATGTGTGGTCATCACAATAATAACCATATTATTACTCTGCTTATTCCGAATGCATGTTTTCATACAAAAGTAGTTAAGAATCTTGAAGCGTCTAGTGTTGATATTTCTATTGTTTACCATGCGAGCAAGGTCACTAAATGTGAAGTTCATAGTCACGCGGTTATACTCGGTACATTTTTTTTTCTTTTCATTTTTAAAATATTTTTACTAAGCTGCCATAATGGATCACCGTTCACGGTTATCCATAAAAGCTAGAGGATTTTAAAAGTGTCGGTGGCCATATGGTGAGTCTGGTCCACCCATTTGGTCTTCGCTCCAAGCCTCCAGCCTCTCGGCTGCCCCAATTTCTCGCATCTACCCTTCATGCAGAGAAAACTAGATCCAAAAAATTAAGGGTAAGTATTTGATCAAGTCGAATAACTAATTTCGAGTTAATTGGGTTGAGTCTTATTTCGTAATTCAAATTTGATTTGAATTTCTTTTTAAGTTGAGTTAAGTTTATAAAATTTTAGTCGAGTTTTCGAGTTTTGTTTAAATTTAAATGGTTTTATATAACTATAACTATATATATATTATTTTTTTTCATATGTAATATACATATATCATACATAGTTGTGTGACTCAACTCAAACTTAAAAATAAATCCACTGATTACTAAAAAATTTAAGTTATTCAAGTTCTTTGTGTTGTATTTTATAATTTGATTTAAACTTAAAAAATATTTTTAATCAAGTCGAGTTTATGAAATTATGACTTGAAATCAATTCGAGTTAAAATTTTCAAATTTAATTTAATTTTTCAAATCGAATTTTATTCATGAACCCTTTTGCTTTTTGGTTTTTGCTAAAAGCCTAAAAACTCACATTATTAAGCTAAATATTTAATTTCAATGAAAGGATGTATGTGACACTGACATAGTTTTTTCTTTAATAATAGTAATAGTAAAACAAACAATAATGTTAGCTTTCTTTCCTTATATTTCAATTATGTATTTGCCCGTACCATTAACAGTAATGTTACAAACAAATTTCTATTATAAAAATATGTAGCTTTCATATGTGTGGACCCGTTGTTTAAATCGTCGAAATGTCCCCCACCCCCACTTCAAATAAAAGAAAGGCAAATGTGTCTCAGTGGTAGGCTAGTGGGGATTGTCTCAGGAAAGGCGGGTTAATATACAGTTAATATATAGCAATATCGGATACATTAAAATGTATTTAATAAATTCGGTTTAGCGGTACCTATTATGTTGACAACTAATAATGTTTTAGGTAGAAAATATGAAAAACTATAAAAAAATTTGGTAACCGGTAAACTTTGGTTATCGGTAAGTATCTATCCTTTTTATAAAAGTGTCCATACTTTTAACATATCAAGTAAATTTGACCGGTTTTGTCATAATGAATCTGGTTTTGTCATATTTTTACCTGTTATATTGTAAATTATCTATCCTTTTTATAAAAGTGTCCATACTTATTTTACTGTGAAAATATATTTATTATTATCTTTGGTTAATATTGTTAAATTTAAATTCTAAATAATATTTTATAAAATATCAAAAAATCAAATAATTTTGTGTGTAAATGAAATTATTAAATTAATATTGTAGGTGGAAAACATGCAAAACTATTAAAAAAAATTGAAACATAAATTACATAACTTTAAAAAAAGTATATATCATTTTTATAAAAGTGTCCATACTTATTTCACTGTGGAAAACATATTTATTATTATCTTTGGTTAATATTGTTAAATTTAAATTCTAAATAATATTTTATAAAATATCAAATAATCAAATAATTTTTTGTGTAAATGAAATTATTAAATTAATATTGTAGGTGTAAAACATGAAACACTATTAAAAAAAATTGAAACATAAATTACATAACTTTAAAAAAGTATATCATTTTTATAAAGTGTCCATACTTATTTCACTGTGGAAAACATATTTATTATTATATTTGGTTAATATTGTTAAATTTAAATTCTAAATAATATTTTATAAAATATCAAATAATCAAATAATTTTTTGTGTAAATGAAATTATTAAATTAATATTGTAGGTGGAAAACATGAAACACTATTAAAAAAAATTGAAACATAAATTACATAACTTTAAAAAAAGTACATATCATTTTTATAAAAGTGTCCATACTTATTTCACTGTGGAAAACATATTTATTATTATATTTGGTTAATATTGTTAAATTTAAATTCTAAATAATATTTTATAAAATATCAAATAATTTTTTGTGTAAATGAAATTATTAAATTAATATTGTAGGTGGAAAACATGAAACACTATTAAAAAAATTAAAACATAAATTACATAACTTTAAAAAAAGTATATATCATTTTTATAAAAGTGTTCATACGTATAAAAGTAGGTCTAAGTCATGAAGAAATATTAAAACGATATACCAGGTAAAAATATGATAAAACCGGTAATAAAATGATAAAACCGGTAAAACGTTACCGGATATATTGAAAGTGTCGATACTTTATATAAGGATCGACACTTTGCGAATTTAAAAGAGAAGCAGTTTTAGCGCTTATAATGTGTCGATACTTTAAAAAAATATATCGATCCACAACGATATAACAGGTAAAAATATGATAAAACCGGTATCAAAATGATAAAACCGGTAAAATGATACCGGATATATTGAAAGTGTCGATACTTTCGTAAGTACGTGTAATAAATTATCGACACTTTCAAAGAAATAGGTAATTATCCTTTCGAAAGTATCGACACCTGACATAAAAGTATCGACACTTTTGTATTTGTATCGATTAAATATAAATAACATATCCGATCAAAATATAAGCTAAATCTCCTCTGAAAATAGATAGAACGGACGAGTTTTTGAAAGCGAAGCGTAATTGTTGCTGATTTTTAGAAGGCGTTTCTAAAGCGAAGTTTGTTTGTTTGTTGCTGCAGTCTAATCGAAAAGTATGTTGTCGAAACCCTAATTTTTTATTATTACAGTAATCGCGATAGGGTTTTTATGTGTTGTTTGGGGTTTTGGAGTAAAGAAGCATTTGGGAACGATTGCAGGTAGAAAGTGATATTCAAGGAAAAATATAAATATCGATACTTTTATTAAATATTATAGGTAGAAAATGATATTATAGGTTGTATAAATGTGCCGACACATTTTGGTGTGGCCATTCAAATTCTTTTGAAGAAAACCGTTTTACCACAGAGTAGTTATCTATATTTGTATATTGAATAAAGTGTATGTAACAAAATAATTTGATTTGCGTAAACTGATATATGAAGGAAAAATGGAGTCAATGGGTTGGAAAATTGTTGGTGGAGCAGATGACTTTGAAATTGAGGCCGAGACTTGAAAGCAACCCAAGGGTGGATATATGTACTTCTAGTAAGTATCAATGTCTTTTTGTTATTATTGTTGAAATGGTAATTGGATTAAAGTATCGATAAACTTTAAATTGATTACAAATTTTAAATGTTGACAATATGGCCGAATGCAAAAGGATGAAGGAAGATGGCACACAGAGCGGTTCGGTATGTAAAATGAAATTGATATTGAGTAGTATTTAGTGTTAATGTATTGATTAAGAAACGTTTATGTTTTATATTAGGTGACAAAGATGTGAGGTCCAAATGGAATTCAATGAGTGATGCTGAAAAGGAACCTTACATCACACAGTCAAGGAATGATAGTAAAGAATACAAAGAACGGAGGAAAGCACATGAAAATAAGGTATTCATTAAACTTGTAAATACGTTGATACAAAATATAAGAACTATAACATTATATATTGTTAAAAAATGTAGGAAGTGTCGACAAGATGCAACATTAAAAGGGTGCATTTATTAATTAAACACCTTAAGGAGAAGGGTCAGTTGAATGTGCTGGGAGAAATAGGTTTTGGATCGTTGGTAGGAGTAAGGGATCGACCTATTCGGAGGGAATTGTGTCGATCCTTGATGGCGCAATTTGATGTCAGGCAATGTGTTGCTAAATATGGTGATTTTTCATTTCCTCTCGGGATCCCATGTGCTGCAGCCGTATTGGGGGTAGAAAATGAAGGCAAAAGTGTTGTAGAAGTCTGTCAGAGTAAGGAATGGAAAGCACTTGCCTCCAAATATGGTTTGAAGCATAAGGTGACATATGCTGAAATTGAAGAGGAAATAAAAAGTGGATCTTACGTTGGGGATGAGCTGAAGGCCAGAGTTCTATTATACCTTGTCGGTATATTTCTTTGTCTAACTGGTAATACGTCAACGAACAAAGAACATATGAAGTTCATTTGTGATGAAGGCTTGAAGGGTGAATTCAATTGGGCTGAATATATCCATTCGAGATTGATTGAATCAATAATCAACTTTAAAAAGGGCAGTCAGAGATACCTCAAAGGGTGCATAGAAATCTTAGAGGTAAATGAGTTGAAGAACTTTATTGTGTTTTTATATAAAAATATAAATTTTATTATAAATGCAGGTTGCATTGTTCGATTTTTGGTCAGGCTGTGAGGCAGTGCCGGCTTATGAAAGAACCAGAGTGGCACGCATCCGTGCATGGGGAAAGGAAGAGGTGGTTAGAGTGATGGTGAAGTTGAAGTTGGATAGAGCGAAGAAGCAAGAAAGGGTAATAAATGTAATTAAATAATATTAAAAATATAATCAATGTCTTAATATTGTAATTTAATTTTGAAGGTTATTGGCAAGGATGTAGAGGAGGCAGTGGAGGCAGAGGAGAAGAAAGGAGGGATGGTTTTATTGGGGGATGACGGTGAGTGGGACGACGGTGAGGGAAAACGTAGTAACTTCGACATTTTGATGTCTGAATTGGCTGATATCAAAAAAATCCAATTTGAAATCATGCAAAGACAATCAAGAGTCGAAGAGAAACTTGAGAGAGTCGAAGATACACTTGAGAGGCATAAGGGGGTAGTGGAAGGAAAATAGATGGAGTGGTGAAAGAAGTAGAGGTGTTGAGGGGTGAAGTGGTGAAAGAAGTTGGGGTGTTAAGGGGTGATATTAAGATGGTGACGGGTGAAAAATTTGAGGGAGTAGTGAAGGAGGTTGTGGAATTGAGGAGTGAACTTACGGGGGTAAAGGGGGTGGTTGATAAATACTTGGATGAAGGAGATCAATTGAAGGGTGAAATAAACGAGATGAAGAGCTATGTAGAAAAAAAATACGATGAACTAAAAAAATATGAAGAAGAAAAGAGGGAGGGGGAAGAAGAAGAGATGGAAGAAGTGAGGAGGAAGGAAGTCAATGTTATTTATACACCGGAGAGTGTTATAGCAGCAGATTTGGATTCGGAATGTCCTGCACCCTAGAAGAAGAAGCAGAAGGTAAATTGAATAAAAGAAAACTTAATTTGATTTTTATTATGTTGTTGTGACAAAAATTTGTATGCAAAATTGTAGGTTGAAAAAGCGGATATTCCAAGCGGAATTGATGACATCGAAGCTACAATTTGTGATTATTTATGGAATAGCGAGTTAGAATCGGAGTAAGTGAAATATATTGTTTTGTGAGTGATATTTAAATATTTCATGACAACATATTAATCCTAATGATTCATACAGATATTCTGTAATCTCAATGGGAAATCAATTCGCTACTGTATACGACGTTGCAACGTTGAAGCCTACGGAATGGGTTGGCGGTATGGTAAGTAGAAAATAGAAAATGTTAAAACTTATTGAATATGTTCTGATTGTGTAATTAATTTTGTTAGGTTATCGATTTGCTCGCCTGGACCATATGCTACGATTCTCAAAAGTCACTCCGGAGGATTGGCTACCTTCCATACCTCTTAGCGGTGAGTTAAATTAATAAATATTGAAAAGTAGTGTTATAGACGGTAAATTAATAATGTTTGTTGCGTAATTACAGCAACAGGCGTTGGATGCCAACAACAAAGAAAGTGTTGAGAGTATTTCTACCTTCTGGGGTCTCATATTGGATAACTATGTGAAATTCACCGACTGTGAGAAGGTAAGACACCATACCAATTGCAAATGATGTTTCGGATATAGAATGTTGAATTTTGTCAAATTGGGTGTGAAATTTGTTGCAGATCATGATCACAATAAACTACCATAATTCACATTGGTATCTGTTGGTGTTGGATATGGTAGATCGTGTTGTAACAATATATGATAGTATGTTTACAACTGAAGCAGCTAAACAGAGAGTGAAGGATGCTAAGAGATTAGTATGTATGTATGTATGAAAGGACATTATGTAATTATAATGCATAATTTTTTTGGTGCATAACTTCTTCTATTTTAATGCAGATTAAAATATTAGATTCTTATAATAAGAAACGCATTTGGGTTGAATCCTGTGGATCTCTAGGAAAGTATCCCTTGAAAAATTTCAAATTTGTGGAGCATAAGAAGAATAAGCTATTGAATGGGTATGAGATGTTATCACAAATAGAAAGCTTAATTTATGCAGTATTCATCATAATTGACATGTGTGGTTTTCAAATTTTGTAACAGACATGATTGCGGCATGAATGTGATGATGTGGATGGAATCGATCGGTTCTACAGGGGCAACTGGTGATTTTGTAAGTGGATAGAAAAATTCATTTGTGGTAAAATTGTTAAAAGTCGTAGATTGAATGCTGTAGTTGACAATACTTAACGTTCTGACAATTTGAATATAGGTTGTTGGAGACTGGGATCGATCGCGAATATTAAACGATCTCGTAAGCCACAATCAAAATGAACGAAGACAGGAGATAACAAAAGCTGCAATATTACATAAGAATAACAAAAGGATGCAATGATGTAAATGTAGGGTTAATTTTGTATAAGATTTATAATTTTGTATACGATTTATATTTTTGTATGTGAATATAATTATGAATGAGATGAGAAAAGTGTCGATCCATATATAAAAAGTGTCAATCCCAAAAACATAAAGTGTCGATCCATATATAAAAAGTGTCAATCCCAAAAACATCGAAAACCAAAAGTATAATGTAATATGTAATTTTTCAATCTAACCGGTACAAGTTTACCGGTTTTATGAGAGAATATGTCTAAATGTGTCGACACTAATTTAGTTTGTGTCGATATTTTGTTCCAGAATGAATGGAAAACAGGGTGCAACCATAAAGTGTCGATCCATATATAAAAAGTGTCGATCCCAAAAACATCGAACCCAAAAGTATAATGTAATATGTAATTTTTCAATCTAACCGGTACAAGTTTACCGGTTTTATGAGAGAATATGTCTAAATAATGTGTCGACACTAATTTAGTTTGTGTCGATATTTTTGTTCCAGAATGAATGGAAAACAGGGTGCAACCATAAAGTGTCGATCCATATATAAAAAGTGTCGATCCCAAAATCATCGAACCCAAAAGTATAATGTAATATGTAATTTTTCAATCTAACCGATACAAGTTTACCGGTTTTATGAGAGAATATGTCTAAATAATGTGTTGACACTAATTTAGTTTGTGTTGATATTTTTGTTCCAGAATGAATGGAAAACAGGGTGCAACCATAAAGTGTCGATCCATATATAAAAAGTGTCGATCCCAAAATCATTGAACCCAAAAGTATAATGTAATATGTAATTTTTCAATCTAACCGGTACAAGTTTACCGGTTTTATGAGAGAATATGTCTAAATAATGTGTCGACACTTTTTAGTTGGTGTCGATATTTTTGGTCCATAATGAATGGAAAATAGGGTGCACCCATAAAGTGTCGATCCATATATAAAAAGTGTTGATCCCAATATCATCGAACCCAAAAGTATAATGTAATATGTAATTTTTCAATCTAACCGGTACAAGTTTACCGGTTTTATGAGAGAATATGTCTAAATAATGTGTCGACACTAATTTAGTTTGTGTCGATATTTTTGTTCCAGAATGAATGGAAAACAGAGTGCAACCATAAAGTGTCGATCCATATATAAAAAGTGTCGATCCTAAAATCATCGAACCCAAAAGTATAATGTAATATGTAATTTTTCAATCTAACCGGTACAAGTTTACCGGTTTTATGAGAGAATATGTCTAAATAATGTGTCGACACTTTTTAGTTGGTGTCGATATTTTTGGTTCAGAATGAATAGAAAACAGGGTGCACCCATAAAGTGTCGATCCATATATAAAAAGTGTCCATCCCAAAATCATCGAACCCAAAAGTATAATGTAATATGTAATTTTTCAATCTAACCGGTACAAGTATACCGGTTTTATGAGAGAATATGTCTAAATAATGTATCGACACGTTTTAGTTTGTGTCGATACTAATTTAAATATCAAGTGTTTTTCCACCGTTTACTATATATAGTACTCTTAATCGAGAAACCCTAAACATAAAGGCAAGCAGGCAGAAGATAACTCTTCCTCTTTCTTCTACCGTTATCATAAGTGACGATCAGATATTCAGGTAAATTTATCGATATTTTATGGGTTTGATTAATTTCTATATTGGAGTTTTTTTTCCTGAATGTGTTTGTGTTCCATTGTAATAGCATCCAACCAAAATGGCTCCAAAACGTCAGCGTCAGAAGCGAGGTCTTTCTCAAAGCTCTTCTCAACCCAGTTCTTCTCAACCACCTCCTTCTGTAACAAACGATTCTTCTGAGAAAATCAGGTCCTTCGAAACTCTGAACTTTAGATCCGACATGGAGAAACAAAGATGGCAGACGAGTTTTAAAGTAAGGAAGATTCGTCCCGAACGTGTCATTGACCTGGGTTTCTTGTTTGATGATAAATATGCATTTAGTATTAAATCCACATTTACATCTTGGGGTTGCTTGAATTCCTTGGTGTAGAACCAAGATATTATCCCAACCTAGTTAGAGTCTTCTACAACAATGCTTCCTTACAGCACGAGCCTAATAAGACTAATATAATAGGAATTAATACACATGTCATGGGGAAGGATATATATATATCTCCAGAAACTATTGCGGAGGGTTTAGGTGTAGCGAATACAGGGGATTCAGATGAAAATGGTGTAGATTGGTCTATAATTAAACGGGTTACTAGAAATAGCCCAATTCACCTTGATGTAGAGTCGAGAGTGTTTCACAAAATGATCACATGGTATATCCGGCCTAGTGGGGGAAAACATTCAACGCTTCGAGACAGCGATTATTGGTGGATAGCAAAGTATAAATCCAAAACGGCTCCAAACATTGCAAAACTCATATTTAATACAATTGTATATATGGTCACAAAGGGAGCAACAATTTCAACTACACTACCATATGGATGTGTCATCACCCATCTGTTGAAGAAGAAGGAAGTTGATTTTTCGCATGACGCCCCTGTTCTATTAACCCGCAAGATTGACATGGTATTTATTAAAAAAGCGGGATATGATTTTGTTGAAAAACTCAGTTGGAAGCGTGTCAAGGAGGTCAGATTAGATCAAGAGAGGGAGGAAATGGACCCCGTTGGCCATGAAGAAGAGCAACCAAGTGGAGACGCAATGATGGAAGAAGCTCCAGTTGCAGAGGATGTCACAATTAAGACCGTGATGGAATACATGGTCAATTTTCGGGAGCATATTGATTCCCTTGTGAGTGGAATGCGATCCGATATTTCATCATTGCAACGTGAAGTCTCCATGTTGCATAACGAATTACGTCAACGACATCAAACGAGTTAGGTAATGCATTATCTATGTTTCTTAACATTTACACGTTCTGAACTTTATTTTCTTTTAACAGATGTGGACAACCAAGCGGTCGCAGAAGATGAAGCTGATGATGAAGATGACGATGAAGATGACGATGAAGCTGGCGATGAAGATGATGACGATGATGATGATGATGATGAAGATGATGATCCAAACAAGTATATCGTGTCTGCAACGCCGCCTTCAAGAAAACTTTTAATTTTTGATCTCAATGGTGTCCTTGCCTACATCCCAAGACTGCCTGCAGGTTTTAATTCTATTCTTTTGTATCCATTATTTTAACATACAAGCGTAGAACTTTAATCTCATTTTCTTCATGTTGTAGATGTTGTCCTCAGAAGAGGATTATTTGAATTTATGCAATTTTGTGTCGACAATTTTGTTGTTGCCCTTTGGTCTTCAAAGATGAGGTTAGAACATGTTTGAAGCAATTGAATTACTGTAGTCAAAATCGTTAATATACATTTGAATGTTAACATTCAAACTTGATTACAATCTCAGACATAACGTCGACCGTGCACTTGAGAAACTACCTGTATTTTCCGAGCATTTTCTATTCGTGTGGGTAAGATGAATGTCATTACAGTTTGCTGACTTTTCGTTGTCTATGATTCCTACATATTTATGTTCGACTGTTTGTGAACAGGATCTAAAAAAATGCAAAACATACGATTCTGTTACCTACTGTAAAGATCTCAATGATGTTTGGAACGCGTGTCCAGATTTTAACGAGCTAAATACACTTTTGGTCGATGATTCAGCGGAAAAATGATTTATAATCTGGTAAGTTGCATTTATGCAATATGTTTTTCCAGTTGAACAGGTGTTCAGACATTGATTATTTTAACAACTTATGTGTTTATATAGAAATACAATTACATATGTCCACATACCTTTGACACTGCTTCCCATTCGAACGACAATGCTCTAGGTATGACACAAATTTATTCATGCTTATGCGAATTTAGTTTATTGTTAGTAAAATTGCACCTCATTAGTTTGATAATTGAAATTATTTATGTATGTCCTCAGAAAAAGGCGGAAACATACGAGAGTATTTGGAAAATTTGTTGAAGGCCTCTAATGTTCCGGACTTCGTTAGAAATAACAATTTTTCATCGAATTAATTTTGTTTGTCGGTACTTTATTTGAACATTCTTGTGTATTTATATTTTGGTGTGATTATATTGTGTGTATATTTTCATTAATTATTCCATATTTGCTTCTATGTGTACATATACATTTGAGTGTCTATACTTTTTTAATATATTGTAAAGTATCTATCCTTTTTATAAAAGTGTATATACTTTTTTCACTGTGGAAAACATTAATTTAAGGTTATCTTTTGAGTGAGTTTTAAGATATTAATTTAGTAATTATAGGCGTCTAATGATTTATTTTTTTACGTTACGATATATATTATTATTAAATTAAAAATTCTTAATATTATTTTATAAAATATCAAAACAATCAACTAATTTTTTGTGCAAATGAAATTATTAAATTAATATTGTAGGTGGAAAACATGAAACATACTTAAAAAAAATTGAAACATAAATTACATATCTTTAAAAAAAGTATCGATCCTTTTTATAAAAAGTATGGACACTTTCAACATATTATAATAAAATAGGTAAATTTGCAATGCTATCGGTATAAATATACCGGTTTTATGCGCGAATAGGTCTACAACCTATATCGACACTTTTTAATCTTGTGTCGGTACTTTATGTCCAGATTGGAAGAAAAATGTGTCGATACATTGTTAAAAAGTGTCGATATTTACACATCGGAACCCATAATTATAATGTAATAGCTAATTTTGTAATATAACCGGTATAAATGTACCGGTTTTATGCGCGAATAGGTCTACAACCTATATCGACACTTTTTAATATTGTGTCGGTACTTTATGTCCATATTGGAAGAAAAATGTGTCGATACGATTTAAAAAAGTATCGACATTTACACATCGGAACCCAGATTTATAATGTAATAGATAATTTTGTAATATAACCGGTATAAATATACCGGTTTTATGAGCGAATAGGTCTACAACCTATATCGACACTTTATAATATTGTGTCGGTACTTTATGTCCAGATTGGAAGAAAAATGTGTCGATACCATTTAAAAAAGTGTCGGTAATTTTAAGTAACGCGGTTTTTCTTCCTTCATTCAAAATATTTATATGTACATACAATAGGAGTCATGTTGATACTTACGATATATTATATGGAGATCGTTGTCATTCCATTCCGTCTTCGAAAAAATCAGTTGATGTAGGCTGTGTGCTTGTACTCAAACTGAGCTTGACTTGAGGACATGTTAGTTTGTTATGCCCCTCACCGTTGCAGTACCCACATCGCCTAATTTTCTTCTCGACCTTGTTCTTCGGCACTTCTTTTCGCTTGCGTTGTTTTCGTTGAGGGTCACGAACATTGTTTACTACAATGCTCTGGTTGACTGAATGATTCAAACCAAATGAGTTTTCTAATTCTTCTATTAGTTTTTTCATATCATCTCTTGCGGTTTTGAAAGACTCGTCTGTCTTTGATGCAATGTAGCATAACCTACTTGACGTTGAACGTAGAGCAGCGAACCTTGCCATTTGCATCACTTCTGGAGACACATTCAAATCAACATAGCTGGGTGCAGAAGCCTTCGCATCATTAGTCCACCTACTTTGAATCAAAGTCCCGGGCAAATATGTGTAGTCCAATTGCTTCAAAATGTGAAGTTGATGGCGACACGGAAGTCCAACGGTCTCGAATTTTTTGCAGGAGCAAATTAGAGTTTTCGTACGAGAATCAAAACTAATTTCAAATTTCCTATTTTTTCTACGTACTTTGACAAAATATAATGTTGACATTCATCTGATAAGGACTTAATCTCTGCCTCAATCCGGTACAATGTCTCCCGTATAAGTTCATCTTGGAACACACGAAAAGATTCGCGGGTAAAAATCGCAGCGGCATGGCTTTCAAGGTCGACCAGTTTTGTGATCTGGAAGGGCTTTGTATGGGAACTTAAGTAATCCGCTTTCAACTTGGTCATACGCATTCTACTAATTCCATCTTCAATTGCACGAACAACATCTAAATATGTCTTCTTGTGTTTCAGTGCAATAGCTAGTGAAGCATTCATAGACTCGCACCTTTGTGTTGAGCGAATATTGGCAAAGAAATGACCGGTTAGATATGCTTGTGCCCATAAGTGTCGTGTATTTCCCTTCTCAATCACCCATGGATGCTTTTGGACGTTGAATTCTGAAACAATCGAACGCCATTGAATATCAAATTCCTTGGTTGTCCACCAGGAAGCCATGCATTTTGAGAATGCTGCTGTAAACTTTGGGTCACCAATGTTAGCTTGTGCATTGCGAGAAAGATGCCAAGAACATAATCTGTGCTTAGCATAAGGGATAACAGATTTGATAGCCCTCTGCATTGCCCTATCCCCATCGGTTACAACGGAAATAGGTGATTTATTCATCATGGCTTCTAAAAAATTCTGTAGCACCCACTCGAAAGATTGAGACGTCTCGTCAGCGATTATGGCAGTGGCAAACACAATTGTGTTATGATGATGATTGACACCAACAATAGGCATAATTGGTCGACCATACAAATTATCTTTGTACGTTGTGTTGAACGCAATTACATCACCGAAGCATGTGTAATCCGATCTCGATGTAGAATCCGACCAAATAAGATTATACAATGCCCCCGATTCGTCTACCGAGTATGTCATAAAAAACCCGGGATCATCATGTTTCTTATAATCAAAGTAGGCAATAAGCGCATTCACATCCCCATCGACGATTTCCTTTGATTTACCTCTTTGAAGTGCATTATAGAGGTCTTTATGTGTAAATCCAACATTATGATAGCCCCCTGCCTGCTGCGTTAAATAGTTCATTACTTGTGACGTACCAACACCGACCTCTTTCAATGTTGTTGCCTCATCGATATCAGCCTTACTTACAGCTCTATTAGAACGCATAAATGGTGTCATAGCAGATGTGCACAATGCATGATTATGTTTCTGATCAGACTTACTTATAACCCACTGATCGTTTGTATTTGTTGCTGTAACTACGACTCTAGCCTTACATCATGTTCTTATGACTGGCGTATGAGCACGTTGAAGATCAACATTATTAACTTTTGATACTCGAAACCTTCTTTGGAACAACAAAATTCTTGTGTCTTCACATTCCCTTCCACGTCAAGCCGTGTTGTTCCCTTA